GGCTCCGGCTCCTCCTGTCCGACCCGCTGGTCCCTGCGCTGCTGGGCGGTGGTGGCGGGGCCGTGGCGGGCAGGGAAAGGCCAGGCCCAGCCTCGTGGGCTTCGGTCCTTCGTACGAGGCCCGGGGGGGGGATGGCGGTGCGGGAGGTCCCGGTGCGGAATTGTGGCGGGATGGAAAGGCTGGGCCGGAGGGTAGGCTGCCCGCTGGGTTGTGAGAAGGGCTGTCCGTCCTTCTTCGTCGGCTCTGCGGGACGTGAAGGAGCGGGTTGGCCTCTTACGGGTGCGTAGAAGACGCATTGAGAGAGGACCTTGCCACCTAAAGAGGGGTGGCAAGAAAATGGAGCTGGGATCCTCTTGGTGGTGCCAACCACTAGGACGAGAGGCAGCGGGCAAAAACTGATGCACAGAGAGTTCCACCTGAGTATGAGGAAGAACTCTACTGTGCGAGGTACCATGCCCTGGAACAGGTTGCCCAGAGAGGTTGTAGAGTTTCCCTCACTGGAGATATTCAAGGACCATCTGGATACAATCCTGTGTCGCGTGCTCTAGGACGACCGCACTTGAGCGGGGAGGTTGGAGCAGGTGACCCACTGTGGTCCCTTCCAGCCTTCCCCATGCCGTGATTCTGTGTGGTGCTCTCAGCACATGGAGAATCCCGTGTCTCTGTGCAGGGTTCCAGTGTGTGTCCCAGTGTGTGTCGGTGCATTGCTGTGCCTGGTCGCTATGACAGCCCGGTGGCATTTAGGGTTGCAGGGTACGTGAAAGACAGCTAAAACAGACCGCCTCCCTGCAAGACACACAACTTGGGTCACTGCTGACCTTAGCAGTGATGTTATTTTGCTGCACGAGCAGCACGAACTCAAGTTATTTAGCTACAACTGTGATCTTAGATCAGCTCTGTGTTTTAGAAGAGCTGCTGTTTCCTACTGCTAATGGGTGACTGCTTATATCTTACTATAATGTACTGACTCAAAAAGACTGTAACACATGTGGATTAAGTTGCCACTATGATTATGGTATACCATACTTCAAAGCTGTAGAGTGTAATGAATTCTTTGCAGTTCTCTTAAATGGAGCAACACAGTGGGAATTTTAACAAGGTGGTCTGTCAAGTGCTGATCAGACTATTAAAGAAGGAACTGTCAAGCTTATCCTTCTGTTTTCAGTGCCATAATTTTCCCACTTGAATTTATACTGAAACAAATTGTGAAGATCAAGTTAATAATCCTTGCAGTAATATTAAACAAAAGCATCCAAGAGCAGTTCTCATAAGGAAACTTCAAAAATGTTATTCACTGGGATAAAGGTTAGGAATTCTTGCCTTCTATGTCAGACAGAACAGGAGTACAGAAAATGGCAGCCCCAAAAAAATTACAAGGAAATATTAATGTTCTGGTCTAGACTTAGATTAGGGGGGAGGGAAAAAGTGTTTACTATATCTGGTGGTAAAGTAACTGCCTTAAAATTCATGGTTTCAAGCACATTTACATGTTAGGATAGGATTACTTAAAGCTTGATAGAATGTTTGTGGAGTATATGTAACTGTTATTGTCAGATGCTGTGAAGGAACACTTGTCTCCAAATAAGTCTGAAAAATCAAAACCATTACAGGGCATTAAGATGTGATTGAAGAATAGCATTGAGTTATTACTCTTGATTTGGTAATCATACACATCTATATTAGGATTTGAAGGGTGGAATTTCTTCTTTTCCTATTATTCTTCTACCCACAGTCTGTTCCCAGGATTTCTAATACCTTAGAGCAGTGAAAAGGTAGATTAGGTTAGCTAGTGTGCCAGAGGGGAAGAAAAGATAATAAGGCTTATCTTGTTTCTGATGGCACCATTGTTACATGAGTGACGTGTAAGAAATTATTGAATTTTATGTTTCCAGCAAGGAAATTCTTTACATTGACAGGAGGAAGGAAAGAGAATACTATTTGTTGGGCATTAGTGTTTAAAATCCTGCTTAATAGAAAAATGTGTTGTCTCTGTCCTTGGCGGTTTTCTGTAACAGGTTGGTAAAGCTCTGAGAAACCTGATGTTACTTTGCTTTTGCGAAGTTGAACTAGATGACTTTCTGAAGTCTGTTCCAACCTGAATTATCCCATGTCCACTGTATCAAATACAAACTATATTTGTTTGTATTTACTCTTAAGGAAGAGTCTTAATCTTCTGTTAGCTTTAAATTGAGATATTGAAATGTGTATATCTTGGGGGAAAAAAATCCCAAACACCAAAACCCAAACTGATGTGCATATTGTGTGTTTTTTGTTTAGAACATGGATTCACAGAAGGATGTTCAGCCTCCAAAGCAGCAGCCAATGATTTACATTTGTGGAGGTAAAGAAAAGACATTAGCAATTTATTTTTTTTTATTACATGTTACTGGAGATTTAGTGTTTTAATAATGAAGCCATTATAGTGAAGAGTATGTGAATGCAAATAATTGCAGTGTGCATCCCGATGATCTTTAAAGCTTTACACGTTGATGGTAACGGGTATGGTTTACCACATGGATATGGATGTGGAAGTAGTTTCCTTAGATCTTGTGTTGCTGTGTGGAGCTCCTCCATCTCCAGAGTATGCTTTCTCTAAGTGTCCACTTGTGGTGCAAATAGTGGACCTTCCATTCAGTGCATCTCAGTCTTTTACTGAAAATGCTATATGGGCACTCAGCTTTTACTGAAATACAGTAGTCAAATTCTCTCTTACCGATAGATAGGTCAACAACTTACAAATTGGTCATTTTGCGTCAGCACTTCAGGAATCTCTGAAATATTTTGTCTTTTAAGAAAATAAACTGTGGGCTTTTGGAAGGCTGAGCTGAAATTTTTGTTAGTAGGCAGTCTAGTATCAAGAGTGGAATGTGTTCTGTGCAGTAATATTTTGGTCATTTTTAGCAAGATTCTCTTTGACCTTAATATAAGTTAAACTTGCTTTTTCTTTTTTTTCTCAGTATCTTGGTATCATTCAGCTCGTGATACAGATTCATTACAATTACTATGTTTGCCACAAATAGAAATTTGATTATTTTGACTTTTGAAAGTTATCTGTGCATTAACAATGCTGGTTTTGTTTGCCTACTGTCTTTGTCTTCCTCTATAACATTAGAATGTCATACAGAAAATGAAATAAAGGCAAGAGATCCTATCAGATGCAGAGAATGTGGCTACAGAATAATGTACAAGAAAAGGACAAAAAGACGTATCCTTTTACAAGTGCACTTGAAAGCATTTGGGAAGCTGTGGATGGCGATAAGGTATGTAAGGGAAACAAAAAGGAAGATTTGAGTAATTATGTAACAATCCTTCAAGGCAAAAAATCAATGCAGGAGAGCAAACTACTATGGGGCAATCTCTGCAGAGTGATTTGGCACCTTCCTTTCTTTCCTGACACTTTCCCTCTTTTTTTCCATTTTCTAATAATAAGTTGTGATAGTCTGCTGGGTGATGTACTGTGAATTGTTGATATTATTCAGCCTTTTCTTAAAGATAGCTTTTGAAATACTTTTATGTAGTTAGTTGTGACCTTAGATTTAGACAGTCTCTCTCTTTTATTCCTCTCCCCATCTTTGTTTTTCAACCACGACACTTTTTTTTGTCTTTAACTGAGCTATTCCAGTGGTGGTTTTTGATGCCCGATGATATCTGCTGAAGATACAGTGACTTCATGATGCAGTTTAATCTTTCTGATAACTTTTCTCTGTAAAACTATCTGTGTACAAATGCACACTCTTATTTGTGTTTTAAGAGGTTATTAAAGTTTACTGTAATACTAAATTTTGTCTATACCATCTTCCAGCAATAGATTTCTAAAACTGCTGTTTAAATTGTCAGAGTATGCAGTATTTTTTAAGTTCAATCGTTTTGTATTCTTTTTGACTTAACTGTGTTTTCATTACTGTCATCTAAACTTTATTTGCATTTTAACTTTGTTAAATGTTTCTTTGGACTTCTGTGAATTGCATAAAATAACTGTGGTTTGAATAAATTCCACTGAAAATAAATAGAGGGCTACATAAGGCTAGGTTTGAAATACAGATCTGGATTTCTTGAGAAAATCTCAAGGGACTTGAAAGTACCCAATTGTGGATTTGTTAAAAGTATGGATGTCTTGTGTGGAAGTGTCAAAAAAATCAGCTCTTGGGAAAGAAGAGGGAGAGGGAGGCAAGGTAAACATTAAGAAGAAATGTGGAAACAGAAATTATGAAAGTGCTGTTTGACTTGTACTCAAGGAAAGAATTAGTACTCAAGGAAAAAAAAATGTGTTACAGAGATAAATTGAGTAGCATCCCAAAACTAAAATAGCATATTGTTTTGCTTTTCATATGACTTCTCAGGAGTCTGTAAAAGAAGGATCAAAGTGGTGATTTTGTTTTGAGAAGCCAAAACTTTTTGCATCTGGCTGTTTGGAATGTGTTATGTATTAGTACTAAATTCTGCTACAAAATACTGCTGAACTGTGTGTTCTTGATCTCAGTTTGGATGGTGCTAATGATACCGTTACGTTGAGATACTGTGTTTAACTCATCACTGTAATAAGGTATCTTTGTTAAGGTGTGCATGACTGTACTGGCTCATAAATTAGCTGCAGTGGCTTGTTATAGGGGATAAAGAAAAGCAATTGGAGATGATGTTTTGAAGTTGTTTGGTTAAGATTTTCTTAGTTAACTGATCTTTGCTGTTAAGAGTAGGTTTTTCCGGGAAACCAGATACACTATACATGATGACCTTTTTGCTGCACCAGCCTGGCCTGCATAGTGTGCACCTTATGCCTGCATAACAGACCGAAGGGTCGCTACTGCCGTGGCTGCTCAGAAGGGTGAGGAGGAGAGGGCAGGAGCAGTGCTGTCGAAGGTTTGGCAGGACTCAGGGGCGGGTTTGGCCTTACTGCGGGCACGGTGGGTACTTCTTTCTGCCAGACGTGGAGAAGAGCATCCTCTGCCATCGGGGACCTGCTGTAGGGAGCAGCGCCGGGAACTGCGGGGCTGACGGGCAGCTTTGGTGTGGGCACTGGGGGACGCCGGCATTGGAAGGGGACTGCCTGAGTAAAAATACTACACTGGAGACAGGAGAGTGACGTTTATTAAACCTTCACGCCCAGGTGCTGTATTTCTGCCCCCCCGCAGGAGGTGGGGGGGGGCGCCGCCGTTCCCCTCAGCCCTGACGGCAGCCGCGCCTGCGCGACGGGGAGCGAGGGTCGGGCGGCCCCCGGCTGAAGCGAGGGGCGGGCGGCGTCCGTGTCCCGGAGGCAGCGCGGCACCGGGCAGGTGGGTGCTGGAGTCGGGCAGGTGACGCCGATGTCGCCGCTGGAGTTCGGCGGGGCTCTGTGGGAGCCTGGCCGGGGTGTCCCTGGGGCGGACAGCGCCGTGTCCGCGCCGCCATGTTGTACATAGCAGCAGTTGCTAAGCTCGGGCTGGCGGCGCTGCCCGGGCCCCGGCGGTGGGTGCCGCTCCCAAGGTAAATTCCTGGCTCCGGGGGAAGGGGGATGTGTGGAAGGTGTGTTGGAGGGGGGCGCGCCGGGCTGTGGCTGTGCCGTGCCCCCGAGCAGCCGCGGTGTCCGTGTCAGCGCCCTGCCCTGGGCAGCTCCCTCGCCTCCGTGGGAATACTGAAACGGGAGAAAACACTGATTCGTGATGAGCTTTTTACTCCCGTTTAATTATTTACTGCATTCGTACGGCTTTCCATGCATGTTGTTCCTTTTTCAGTACTGAAACTGTAAAGTCTTGGGGCAGAATCTCTATTATGGTCACCTGATTACGACCAGTTATTATTTAAGTGATACTGTATTGTAAACATTTTTTGTGCAACTATAAATTAATAGATGTAGTTATGCTAGACATTGGAACACAGTTATTTTAACTGGGTTTATATTTGCACATAGTTGTTATCACACATTAGTTAGCTTCCCTTATTGTACTTGTTAAAAATAACATCACTTTATGCACTGTATAAATGGGGAAAGAGTGAAGAATTTCAGCTCCATAGAGCTTGGGATCAAAACAAAAAAGGATGCAGATGAACAGATCAAAGGAAGGGGGAGACAGAAGTGTCCTATTTGAACCCCTCACTTCATCAGTTACCTACTTATTGGAAAAGGCTTATATTACTACTGTAATATAATCAGAGGCCCAGAAAATGCAGTTAGTGAGCAAAGAAAATTGGATTTATTTTTGCTACAGAGAAGGCAAGGGTTATTATTGCTTTAGATACACTGTTGGTTAATGTCTTCCCTCTGAAAAAAGCAGTGTCCTGCACCATCTTATCCTTTATGCTTATCATACTTGCTTAAATAGCTAATATAATAATGTATTTAAAGAAAAATTGAGAACACGATAGGCAAAAATTGGCAATTTTTCTTTAAGCAGTCTTTCTGAATTGATCTGCTTTGCAGAAGCAGTAGAGTTACACATACTCTTCATACAAAGCATCTCTCATACGCAACCATACTTCTGTCAGTGAACTCTGTCGAGGACAGCTCGTATGATCAGGTCTTGAAATCTGAAATTTTGTCTTTTGTGGTAATAGATCTACTTGCATAAGAGAGTGGAGCATGAGCAGATTTATTCCTTAAATTGACATTGCTTCAAAATGTAACTTAAGTGCCTACAGGATCACTAAATTTTTTTCCTTTTAATATTTAGTTATGGGTGATGAGTCAGTACCATTTTTGCTGGACCAAGGAACCACTAAAACATATCAAATACCTATTAGTCATCTGGACTACAAATTCATTGAAAAATGCACAGATGTTAAGCACCTGGAAAAGATTCTCAGAGTATTAAGGTAAACGTATTTTCTTATCTTCATAATAATTATATTCCTGTTCTGTAAAATTTGAGGGAACCCTTACCTAAATACTCTTATTTGCCTGAGACTTTTTGTGACTTTTTAATTTAAAAATTAAAATACAAAGTTAAAGTAATCATGTTAAAAGTGTCCCAATGATAGCACTAGAAATCCAAGTCCTGATTTAACCATTGAAAAAGTTTGAGTAACTGAATGTCAGGTTTTTCTCAAAATGCTGCTGCTGTATTTTTGTTCTATTATGATCCTTCTTGCCTGACTCTGGTAATTTCAGATGCCACACCTGTTTAACTTTTGCTGAAAATGACACAAAATTTTTTTATGAGCACTGTGATGATAATTTGAACTGTATATGTATGGACATTGGAAAATGGTTGAGGGTTGACTGGAATTTTCTGATGAAAATGTTATTAGATGACAGTAAAATTGAGTTGTAACAGGGAAATAATCCTCTGCAGTCACTGTAGTGACTACAGATGGAGAGAAGTATGGAGAACACAGTGCAGTTTAGTTCTTTTTTTGCTAACTTTTATATCTTTGCATTTGAAAGGTCTGGTGAAGAGGGATGTTACCCTGAACTTACGTTTGTTTGTGAAAAGCGTATTGAGCATTTAGATCCAAAGAGCAGAGCTCTGAGAACAGATAAGCCTGCAGCCACAGCTTCTGATTTCACAGCTGAGGAGTGGGAAACAATTAATGATGAGCTGATGGTACAGTATCTAATTTATAATGGTCCATAATATTATCACTCTGATGTATCAATCTTCCTCTTCTTGTGCCTAAATAGAATGTAATTATTTGATTAAATGAGGAAATGATGAAAGGATTATGTTTTGTGTTTTTAATTGTTTTCTTGAGTTAATGTCGCTGAACCTTTAGTGCCTATTTTAACTCTACAGATTATTTTTTTTTTGGTAGGTTACTTTGTATTTAAAAAAAAACACTATTGCTTTTTTTTCTTAATTGCTTTTCCTTGTTAATAGCAATGTTTTGTATGTATAGTTGTTAGGGTGATGGTAGACTGTGAAGTATATCTTCTCTACTACCTTAAGGTACAGATATGTTATTTATTTATTTTCAGAGCTGGCTGACAGAAATGAATGAAGATGATAAGAAATCACAGTTCCTGAGAACAGACATGCCAAATGAAAATCAAGATAACTTGCCTCCCATTCGTTGTTCCAGCAGCTGTCTTCCTGCTAATCAGGTATCTCCAGTTTTCTAATGTGTGGTAATTATATGTTTTTCTAAAATTGGGAAATTTTATATGTACAAATTTCCAATCACTGAGCCTTTCTTACTAGATTTATTTTGTTAACCAGGAAATAAAAACCTTTAAGCTCCCTTGTGAGAGATCAATGCTTAAACAAAAGTACTTTATTTGTACTAGCGTGTCTTGTAATAATGTTTTAATTCTGATCAGGAATTCAGTGCTGGAGCAGATCTGCTTAAACACCCTTTTATGATCTTTGATTCATGTTTCAGAATGGTTTTTAAGCATATGAATCAGGTTCTTTTTGGATGAAATTATACCAGGAGATTTTCTCCAGCTGCCAGTACACTTTTGTTCCGTGGGGCCAGACAGGAGCTAGTCTAAAATAAATACCCTGAAACACATAAAGTGAGGATGTTAGATCTTCTGCACCAATTGTTTCATTCTGTAGCCACTTCTGTATTGGGTTGTGCTGCCTTTGATTGCCCTTTTCTTTTTTTTTTTTTGCCTTGAATTGCCACTCCCACTGCAGTCATATAGCATACTTCCTAATTTAGCCATTAAGCACACTTAACAAATCTTCAGAATTAAGAATGAATACTTACATTTTTCCTAGGTATTAGTTTCCTTATGGGTTTTTTTTCAGTTTATTTGTCTGCCTAAAATCAGTTTTGTCTGTGACTGGCTTTTCTTGCTAATACTAAATGTAGTGCTACTGGAGGGATTGGTAGACAAATAGGTCTGGGACAGGATTTTTCTGAGTGTCAGGTGTTTTCATAGATCACTACAATCTGATTCTCAAAATTTTCTTTGAAATTCTGGGACACTGCTATAACAAATTCCTTGAAGTATTGTTCTTTTGTTTGGGAGTCAGAAATGTTATGGAAAGATCCTTACAGGTCATGTGATATTTCTTATTAGTTGTTTTGGTGGTTTTTTTTTTTTTTTAATAGTTATGTATTAGTAAATGCCTGATTTTTCTTCCTA